CCTTCAGTAGTTATGGAGATACCAGCTTACACGCAAAAACTTAACCAAGAATTTCTAAGTCGAAAAAGGGGCATAATTATGTAAAAAAGCAAATCAGAGTTATGGGACTTGTGCCAATCATCTTAGATAATCACAGAGGAACAAGTGTGTGAAGTTTCAATCCATTCCCTTCAGTAGTTATGGAGATACCAGCTTACACGCAAAAACTTAACCAAGAATTTCTAAGTCGAAAAAGGGGCATAATTATGTAAAAAAGCAAAATCAGAGTTATGGGACTTGAGCCAATCATCTTAGATAATCACAGAGAACAAGTGTGTGAAGTTTTAATCCATTCCCTTCAGTAGTTATGGAGATACCAGCTTACACGCAAAAACTTAACCAAGAATTTCTAAGTCGAAAAAGGGGCATAATTATGTAAAAAAGCAAATCAGAGTTATGGGACTTGTGCCAATCATCTTAGATAATCACAGAGAACAAGTGTGTGAAGTTTCAATCCATTCCCTTCAGTAGTTATGGAGATACCAGCTTACACGCAAAAACTTAACCAAGAATTTCTAAGTCGAAAAAGGGGCATAATTATGTAAAAAAGCAAATCAGAGTTATGGGACTTGAGCCAATCATCTTAGATAATCACAGAGAACAAGTGTGTGAAGTTTTAATCCATTCCCTTCAGTAATTATGGAGATACCAGCTTACACGCAAAAACTTAACAAAGAATTTCTAAGTCGAAAAAGGGGCATAATTATGTAAAAAAGCAAATCAGAGTTATGGGACTTGAGCCAATCATCTTAGATAATCACAGAGAACAAGTGTGTGAAGTTTTAATCCATTCCCTTCAGTAATTATGGAGATACCAGCTTACACGCAAAAACTTAACCAAGAATTTCTAAGTCGAAAAAGGGGCATAATTATGTAAAAAAGCAAATCAGAGTTATGGGACTTGTGCCAATCATCTTAGATAATCACAGAGAACAAGTGTGTGAAGTTTCAATCCATTCTCTTCAGTAGTTATGGAGATACCAGCTTACATACAAAAACTTAACCAAGAATTTCTAAATCGAAAAAGGGGCATAATTATGTAAAAAAGCAAATCAGAGTTATAGGACTTGTGCCAATTATCTTAGATAATCACAGAGAACAAGTGTGTGAAGTTTCAATCCATTCCCTTCAGTAGTTATGGAGATACCAGCTTACATACAAAAACTTAACCACAGGGACGCCGACGCCGACGCCGACAAATGGGTGAATGCATTAGCTCGATTATTCTGCGAATAGTCGAGCTAACAATTTAGATAAAGAACAAACCTCCTGAACAAAGATACTTCTTCTCATGTAATTTCACATCAGGATACGAACTCTATAAACAAAACAATGCGTTCCAGAATAAAAAAGGAAATTCCAGATGTCCTTTTTCCGGGGGTCGACCTTAAGCCACTTTTTCAGCAACAAATTTACATGCAGAGAGAGTTACATAGTGAGACTAGAGAGATAGAGGAATAATTCCCCTATCTTTTAAACCTAGTACCTGTCCGTTCTGCGGATACTTTTCGACTATCTTTTTATAGGGGTTTATTTTCTAAGGATAATTTTGCAAACTGTTGTTTGGAGTTATTTGATAAATATGCATAGAAGTATATTGTTTATACTTTAAAATGGTTCTTGTTACTGGGTCGTATGGGGGTTGCGTTTATTGGACGCCGCCTTTCCTTGTTGATCTTGTTTATCATATTTTAATATTACTGTCATCTTTGCAATTCATTCTCCGAAATCGCAAATGGTGTAATACTATTTTACGAAATGAATAAATATGATATTTTTTCTGCATATTTCTCATGCGTTAGTATGATCTTTGCTGATAATTGTTATTTGTGTAGATGAAAATGTGTTCGTGATATATGGTTTTACCCCTGTTTATATGAAAATGATATAATCAATGACAAAATGGAGGGTCATTCAATAACGCAAACATTTGTTCTTGTTTTTTTATGACAATAAGTTTCTTTATTTAACATTTTCCATCATACATCATGTTGTTAAAATGAAAAAAAATGTAGTAAAACAACAAAAATAAAAATATTTAAAAGTTAGCTACAACTGATATTAATATGATAATTAATAAGCTAGTGGTAACGTATTATTGCCAACTAATCCATTTTTACCAACTATCTATAAAATAATACGTATCCATTACCTACAATGTAATCATTACATTTATTTACATTAATTATCAACTTTAAAAAAACATGTGCAAAAATAAAATATTTATAGTGAAAAATGAATAATAATAATGATAACAACAACAATAGAAATAATAATTATAATAATAATGAACTTCAATGTTCATATATAAATATATATATTAATAAGTGACTTCAACTGATTTTTCTCATTTTCTTTTCAAAAATATGCCATGTTTATTTGCCAGGTTGATATTGAAATGAGAAAAATAAATTAATGTCAGTTATTTTTAGTATAAGATTATACTATTTTTACTATTTTTCTCATTAAACTTATATGCCTAGAAGTGTAAATGAAAATATCAGTGTAAAAATTTTGCTTTATCAATATAATATAACTGTTACATATACCGGGATGTGTTCCCAAATTACCCATTACTTCAGTGTGGGCATAGAAAAGTTGTTTGAAGTGGCAAATAGGTGAAAGATAAGCATCTTTGCTTTCTAACATTAACAAAATGAAAAGGTACTTTACTCGTATAGCATTTAATGATAGGAAGAGTTTACTTTTCTTTTTTCTTTTTTAATAACTGATAAATAAACAAACAAATAAATAAAGGGATGAAAAAATAAGTAAATGATAAATAATTAAATAAATATATGAATAAATAAATAAATATATATATATATATATATATATATATATATATATATATATATATATATATATATATATATATATATATATATATATATAAATCATTGATGTAATATAAGGTGATTGAAATGTGATAAAAACATCAAATGGTAAAAATGTTATTTAACTGCGGTAAATCATTATCAATTATATGCAAAAATGTGATTGATTGCTTTCATGAAAATATATTGTTTCAATGCTGAGTAAATAGCTTAATTATAGGTTCAGAGAAAATACAAAACTCATTCAACCAAAGTTATATTGTTATGGTTATATATTGGCACATCTTCATCTGTTAATTCTTTTGAAATTATATCCAAGTTTATGCGGACAAATGACACATAACTGTTTGCTATGCATGTATGTTCCAAAAGTGCCAATTCAATGTTCTAAGATTTCTTTACTCAAAGAAGTAGTAAATCTTATAAGCTATCGTACAATCTCTAGTTGTAAAATAATGTCCATTTTACTGACAGTCCATTCCACATTAATCATTTCGCTAGTAGTCAATAAATACACTGAAGCACTAATAGTCTTACCACATAACGCGGAAATAATACAAGTTACACATTGTGCTGATTAGTTACACAATGTGTGAGAAGTTCTACATCATCTTTAGGCATTTCATTAAACAAAAATGCGTTTTTAAAAATATTATAATATAATATACCTTGCCTACCTTATGATAACTATTATAACTTCAAATACAAACAAGAGACAATGTGAATACATAAGCCGACCTCTGGTAAAATATTCGACCTGCGGGGGATAATAACATTCCTGCCTTATGCCCGGAACAGCACAAACGTCAAAACATGATCATGATTCTTGTTTTAACCCGCACTCCCCCGGGGCGAAACTAAAAAAAAAAATTGTTTTCAAAACTTAAATAAAATGTGTATGCAAAACTAAAAAAAAATATGTATGCAAAAAACAAATATGATTTCAACACTTAAATAAAATATGTATGCGAAACAAAAAAAAAACAAAATTTTAGACAAAACAAAACAAAATCAAGAATTGCAAATGTCACCGTACATAACTGAAAATGAAACTATTTTTTCATCAAAAAACAAAAGTATCTCAAAAATGTTCGGCCATGGTAAACGAGGTTGCTTTGTTATAATAAATGTACATGTGTAGTACTATTTATATTCATAAGTATTTTCAATGATATGTTTCTTTTGGATCGTTTTTCCCTGTGTTTATCTTCTTTTATTGTTGTTGTTGTTGCTTCTTTTTTTTGGAAACAAAAACAACAACAAAAAACAAACAAAAAAAACCCATTAAACTTGCAATAACATTTATGCATATAAAGGGCTTATAGTTTTATTTTTTTATAATAAAATTTCATGCATTGTTACTGCAACAAACGAAAATTAAGGCAAATTTGACGTTCCTGAACATTCATGGAATATAATACAAATAACTAACATTATTTTTGCAGAATTCTGATCTCATATCTATTTTTCTAATTATCGAAAATCAGACACAAAAATAAAAATCAATTTCAATATAATAAACATAATAAGAAAAATATGCGTATCAAAGAAATCTATTCGATGATAAAAGCTAGTATCAAAATGTTAAAAAGGTTAAAGGCACAATCTGTCGCAGAAATCCATAAAATTTAAAATGTTTAGAAATGTTAAACATGTATTCACTATTGTTTTAATCAAAGATTTAGATGTTTAACATATGAGGAAAGTATCGATGAATGTTCAATAATATGTCGTAAAGGTAGCAATATGTAATCAAGGCAGTATTTTGACTTCTACACGAAATACTTATTTACAATAATTATATTAATCGCAAAATTATTCTATATAGAAAATGAGATCTTACCACTTTTAAGAAACTGTAACAGAATACCTAACTTAAAATTTATAAAAAGGTTTTGAAAAATGAAACTGAGAGCAATTTTTAGGCACGATGTGTCTTTAATTGTACATCCCAAAGATTATGAAAAACCAGATATGCGTAATATTATATTACACAAAACACAAAGCACTGACAATGCAAGACATAATATTTATACATGTACATTTTTCTGAATATATTTTTGCGGAATCAAATAATGAGTTTCATTCTGTAAAGAAAAACAAAAATAAAACAAAAATAAAACGATAGTCGGAGCATGATGAATTGAGAATACCAAAATCACTTCAGCAACTTCAATGTTAAATGTTTATGCCTGTTGTTTTCATCGCGCATTCATAATATTTGCGTTTGTTCCGATGCATCACTTGTCTTAACAACCATTTTTATCCGTATTTTATGGTAACTCCCTATTTGACGCCGTTTTATATTATTATCCAGTATACGTCTTATTGATTTGTTGAATATCAAATCACTTTTTTCCTTTCTTCTCTTATCTGTAAAATAAAATAAACAATTTTATTTTCATTTTTTCCACATCAAATTTGCTCCTTAGATAATTATAATGAAATGAAAGTCATACATTAATTAAAAAAGTTTTAAACGATCAACTTCCTGACACAAATGAAACACATGATTGTGTGTATTTTATAGGAAAGTTATGACTCGCTTTAGGACTGACAAAATGTGCATGTATCGCATACTCAATCTGAAATGTTTAAAAACATTTTCTCTCTGATTTGTATGTGATATGAGTCGTATAAATACATTGACTTTCACTTGAAGCATAACGGGATTTTCAAGTTTATGTAATTTTATGTATATAATTTAATGCAAGGATAAACAATAGTTTTAATATTTTTTTCATCTAAGCTTGAAATGTTTGTATGTTACTATTTATTCATAGACAAATTTTAACGAGTCAGAACAACATTAAAAGATCATTTTATGCAAGAAAAACAAATATTGACAAAAAACTTATAAATATGTATTAAATATTTTATAAAGTCTTATAACGTGCGTACATTTATTATGCTTGTTTCAAATTTTTAGAATTTGTGTGTAAGTTACAATAAATATAAAATTGTAAAAATGTTAAAGTTACAACAATTTAAATTATCATCACACTTTAGATGTTATGTTTATTAATTAAAACGCATGGCACACAAGTAAATGACAATAAAAGAGAGATGCCTAAGCTAAAAGAATAGTTAAGAACCACCAAATAACTCTTATGAAATGAAGGTGAAAACTATGTTATGCTTGAAACAAATACAAACATGAAAATAGTACGATGAATGTATACAAAACATAGAAATGATTAGTATATGTACCTGATTAATTAACAATTTCCAAAGCACTAATCGATCACCATCATGTACTTCTGATAGCCATGTTTCATTGTTTGTTATGTTTAGCTTATTAGTTCGAATCAGTAATTCAGTGTTCTATTACATTATTTTAGTACACACTAACACTTTAAACTTTACACAACCCATGTGTACTCTTCCTAAACAGCCTGACTAACTCCATATATTTTAAAAAGGGGAAATACACTCGTTCCCCTTTTTAAGGCACTATTTTTACATTATTTTCAGCTAAAGTAATGGTATTGTTTTGTGAAAAGTAAAAGACAAACAGCTAAAGTAAACATCCAAATTTTATTTTTTGTTTCTTTTGCAAATGTTTTCGGGGGAACCGTTCCCCCGAAGAACAAAAGCCATGTACAGAATACAACATGATTCGATAAATAAACAGCAATTGTTCAGTAATAAGAGATACATTATGCTTACGGGGAAACCATTCCCTCATCAAAATAAAAAGCAAATTTCAAAACTTATCTTTAACACATACTCTAAAGTGGAACCATTCCCCCTTAAAAAAAATAGATATAACAATTTGATCAAATAAATGCAATAATTAAGAAAATAAGAGCCATGTAACCGATAAAAGGGAACCATTCCCCATCAACAAATTAAACTTCAAAACTTATTAAACTTCAAAACACATTTTCTAAAGTGGAACCGTTCCCCCCATAACAAATTAACAGATATAACAATTGGATAGAATAAAATGCAATAATTTAGAAATTCAGAGCCATGTTACCAGTAAGAGGGAACCGTTCCCTCTTCGAAATAATTTTTTTTTTAAAAAACTTAAGTATGACACATTTTCTAAAGTGGAACCGTTCCCCCTTAACAAAACAGAAATAACAATTTGATAGAATAAAATGCAATAATTTAGAAATTAAGAACCAAGGTTACCCGTAAGAGGGAACCGTTCCCTCATCAAAATAAAAATAAATTTCAAAACTTATCTCTTACCCATTTTCTAAAGTGGAACCATTCCCCTTAACAAAACAGGTTCAAAAATTTGATAGAATAAAATGCAATAATTTAGAATTTTAGAGCCATGTTACCGGTAGGAGGGAACCGTTCCCTCATCGAAATAGAAAACAAATTTCAAAACTTATCTAGAACACATTTTCTAGAGTGGAACCGTTCCCCCTTAACAAAACAGAAATAAAAATTTGATAGAATAAAATGCAATAATTTAGAAATTTAGACCAAGGTTACCCATAAGAGGGAACCGTTCCCTCATCAAAATAATTTTTTTTTTTATAAAACTTAAGTATGACACATTTTCTAAAGTGGAACCGTTCCCCCTTAACAAAACAGAAATAACAATTTGATAGAATAAAATTGAATAATTTAGAAATTTGGAGCAAGGTTACCCGTAAGAGGGAACCGTTCCCTCATCAAAATAAAAATAAATTTCAAAACTTATCTCTTACCCATTTTCTAAAGTGGAACCATTCCCCCTTAACAAAACAGGTTCAAAAATTTGATAGAATAAAATGCAATAATTTAGAATTTTAGAGCCATGTTACCGCTAGGAGGGAACCGTTCCCTCATCGAAATAGAAAATAAATTTCAAATCTTATTTATAACACATTTTCTAGAGTGGAACCGTTCCCCCTTAACAAAATAGATATAACAATTTGATATAATAAAATGCAATAATTTAGAAATTCAGAGCCATGTTACCAGTAAGAGGGAACCGTTCCCTCATCGAAATAAAAAAATTTTTTTTTATAAAACTTAAGTATGACACATTTTCTAAAGTGGAACCGTTCCCCCTTAACAAAACAGAAATAACAATTTGATAGAATAAAATTGAATAATTTAGAAATTTGGAGCAAGGTTACCCGTAAGAGGGAACCGTTCCCTCATCGAAATAAAAAATAAGTTTCAAAACTTATCACTTACCAATTTTCTAAAGTGGAACCGTTCCCCCTTAACAAAATAGATATAACAATTTGATAGAATAAAATGCAATAATTTAGAAATTCAGAGCCATGTTACCAGTAAGAGGGAACCGTTCCCTCATCGAAATAGAAAATAAATTTCAAATCTTATTTAAAACACATTTTCTAGAGTGGAACCGTTCCCCCTTAACAAATTAACAGATATAACAATTGGATAGAATAAAATGCAATAATTTAGAAATTAGGACCAAGGTTACCCGTAAGAGGGAACCGTTCCCTCATCGAAATAATTTTTTTTTTTTTTAAAAACTTAAGTATGACACATTTTCTAAAGTGGAACCGTTCCCCTTAACAAAATAGAAATAACAATTTGATAGAATAAAATGCAATAATTTAGAAATTCAGAGCCATGTTACCAGTAATAGGGAACCGTTCCCTCATCGAAATAATATTTTTTTTTTAAACTTAAGTATGACACATTTTCTAAAGTGGAACCATTCCCCCTTAACAAAACAGAAATAACAATTTGATATAATAAAATGCAATAATTTAGAAATTAAGACCAAGGTTACCCGTAAGAGGGAACCGTTCCCTCATCAAAATAAAAAATAAATTTCAAAACTTATCACTTACCAATTTTCTAAAGTGGAACCGTTCCCCCTTAACAAAATAGATATAACAATTTGATAGAATAAAATGCAATAATTTAGAAATTCAGAGCCATGTTACCAGTAAGAGGGAACTGTTCCCTCATCGAAATAATTTTTTTTTTTTAACTTAAGTATGACACATTTTCTAAAGTGGAACCATTCCCCCTTAACAAAACAGAAATAACAATTTGATATAATAAAATGCAATAATTTAGAAATTAAGATCAAGGTTACCCGTAAGAGGGAACCGTTCCCTCATCAAAATAAAAAATAAATTTCAAAACTTATCACTTACCAATTTTCTAAAGTGGAACCGTTCCCCCTTAACAAAATAGATATAACAATTTGATAGAATAAAATGCAATAATTTAGAAATTTGGAGCAAGGTTACCCGTAAGAGGGAACCGTTCCCTCATCAAAATAAAAAATAAATATCAAAACTTATCTCTTACCCATTTTCTAAAGTGGAACCATTTCCCCTTAACAAAACAGAAATAACAATTTGATAGAATGAAATACAATAATTTAGAAATTTAGAGCAAGTTTACCCGTAAGAGGGAACCGTTCCCTCATCGATATAAAAAACAAATTTCAAAACTTATCACTTACCAATTTTCTAAAGTGGAACCGTTCCCCCTTAACAAAACAGATATAACAATTTGATAGAATAAAATGCAATAATTTAGAAATTTAGAGCCAGGTTACCAGTAAGAGGGAACCATTCCCTAATCAAAATAAAAAATAAATTTCAAAACTTATCTATGACACATTTTCTAAAGTGGAACCGTTCCCCCTTAACAAAACAGATATTACAATTTGATAGAATAAAATGCGATAATTTAGACATTTTGATCAAAGTTAAAGATTGCGGACGGCAATGGAAAAGCTGCCATTGACTGTAACAATACCTCTATTTTTTTCTTTGAAAAAAAAATGACAAGCTAAAAATGGTGAAAATACACTAATTTGACATATAAGTTCAAGACCATTATGAGGCAAGTTTAGTTTCAATTGCTAAATTTGAGCCACAAATAAATCACTATATAAGAAACATTTTGACTGATCTATCATATGAAAAACAAATTTGATTAAATGCCTTGGAACTAAATTTCACTGCAATGAGATACATCTGTCTATATTAAGTTTCACTTCAATAGCTCCAATAGGTGGACTGTGAGGCAGACAGACAGACAATCTGATTCTAGTACACTTATCATCATAGTTGTGTAGGGTTTATAAAAATAATCTAGAACAAGCCGCTTCCATATGTTATAGCCCAATTTTGTTTGTTCATTCAACAGTAATTTGCCTGTACTGGTTTGAAAGCCTGTGTGTATAACAATCACTCTCAACATCTCTCTTCACAGCCATACAGGTATTGTTAAACAATTTTTAGCTACCAAATCGAAGTTACAACAGAATATGCCCATGTAAAATCCAATTATTTTCTGCCATTTTGAGTCTTTTATTTTCTGCCATTTTGAGTCTTTTTCACAACAGTATCTGAAAATAAATAAGGATTCATTTAACTTTTTTCATTTCATTATTTGCTTGCATCTATCATTTCACAAAATAATCTTTTCAAATTCTGGGACTTTGTAAGATACAAGTGAATGACTTAAAAAAACCAGATAAATACATGTATATAAGGCCAAAAAAACAAAAACAACTTGTTTCTGGTCACAGTCCCCTAAAATGAACAAGGTCAGTAGGTAGGGATTTTTTGGGGGTTGACTGTTAAAACCGATGACATATATGCAAAGTGCTGCATTAAATATAAATGGATCCCATGTCATTCTGACATATTGGTCAGGGGTAAAATATACAGTCAGTCGGCAGACCAGAAACAAGATTTTTTTTTTTTGGCCTAAGCAAAATACTGACAAAATGTTTGAAATTAGGATCATAAAATTTTGTTGCATGTTAAGAATAATTCTTATATTACTTTTATTTTTTTGTGTGAGAGGTTCAAAACATGAATCCTTTACATAATTCTGTTAGATGTACTTAAAGTTCAGGCTCACCAACTTTATATAATTATATATTGAGTGCATTGGATTTTGCTGTGATGTAGGGGAAATTATGACAAAAAAGAAGTATCTTTAAAAAGATACTTGGACAAGAATAAACTGTTTATTACTTGTCTTTTTAAAACCACTTGCCCCTTATCACTGTGTGTTCGAATCCCGACAGGGACTTTGGATTATTTCATGTGAGGAAGCTATTCAGCTAGCTTACGGAACGTCGGTGGCTTTACTCAGGTGCCCGTTCATGCTTGAAAAAATACACGGAGTGGCACCCTGTACGAAAATGCCTACCCTGACTACACCCTGATTTGACATGGGATAAGACATTTATTCCCAGCCAGGTTTTTTAAGCTATTCAGTTGACTATAGAGAAGACAGAAATCTATTTTTAGATTTTTTAGTATACAATATATAGTGTTTTCAGGGTGGATTCAACGAAATATTTAAATGAGCCAGAAAAAATATCACCCTGAAATGGAAATCCAGGGCAGAATTTTCACTCACACAGATTTCTAAAAATAGATTTACTTCTAGTTAAATTGAGAGCAATTTAAGGGTGGGATAAATTTGA